ATATTTTACTCAAAGGTATTTAACATTCCATCTAACTGGCATAATTGACACATTTCTTTCAAATGTACAGCTAGGCCATTAATCTTTGACTCAAAGGTATTTAACCTTTCATCTAATTGGCATAATTGACACATTTCTGTCAAATGCATAGCTAGGCCATTAATATTTTATTTTAGAACAATTCCTACTCTAATAATTATTCGTAATATCAATTAACTATTTAATTTCATTATAAATTTTATAGTTTGCACCCATAGTGCCAGTACGATAATACATAAACTTATTATGAATTTCTTAGTTTTGCACACACAGTGCTCATACAGAATTTCATAAACTTATTATGTATTTCTTAGTTTTGCACACACAGTGCCCATACAGAAATTCATAAACTTATTATGAATTCCTTAGTTTTGCACACACAGTACCCATACGGAAATTCATAAACTTATTATGAATTTCTTAGTTTGTACGCATAGTGTCATTTGGTAATCACCATACATATATTAAGTAACATGTATCTATGACTATCATAACATATAAGTACATAATAAATGCATTCACCTAATATGTTTCCCTACTATGCTGTAATGATGTCCACTACTCGTCAACTCTGCCCTTGCCCTTTTTCTTGATTGACTCGGGAGCTTGGTTATGATCTACACAAACACCTATTTAGTACACATTCCATGCAAATGTTAGTATATTCTCTAACATTTATACTTTAATAATACTCAAAAGTACTATTATTTTCAATTTCTATAACAATTTCATCCTATCTTATAATTCCTGGCTCAATAGTATCAGTACCCATACCATGGTATCGATACTTCTATATTATGGTACCGATACCTCTTTTAGTATCGATACCATTTCTGCATTCTGAATTAATGGTATCGATACCTTCTCCAAAGTATCGATTCCCCCTCAGTATTGATACTAATTTCATCAACATCGATACTGTTTAGCTGATTTCATCCAATTTAAGCCTATAATATCGATACAGTTCTATCAATATTGATACCCTTACCCAGATTTTCCATTTTTCAGACCGATTCTTGCCCAAATTTGGTCAAATTTCCTTAGGTTTACACCCAACAATACTATTAAACTCTTCTTTACTTATCCTTACTAACTTTCCTTCATTTAGCTTCTTAAAAATCTAAAATCTCCCAAGAACATTTCAATCTAAGAATCACACCACTTTTTCTAACATGTTTTTACTCATATCTAAAGCTTCTAATCTATTGTTTACTTCTTTGACAAGTCAAATATACTAATAAACATCATTAAAAACTCATATTTCATCATCTCCTTCAAAAACCCATTTTCTCTAATATCTCTAATAACTCATCCATCTCCTAGTTTTAACCTCATTTATCCCTTCTTAAGCTTACATATAACTTAAGGTTGTAATAACAAACCACAATCGAAAGGAAAAACTAATTAGATGAGATTTACATTGGCTATGAGGAGGCACAAAGTCACGGGAGGAAGAAAGAGAGAAATAACTTAACTTCTTTCTTTTTAAATTTTCCCCTTCTTAAATCCCTATTAAAATTTGAATTTTAAATTGATTTTATTCCAAATGACTAAAATGCCCTTTTAATCACCCACTGTTACAATTTAGTTTAAACCACTATTCCAAATAATTCATCTTTTATCATTTAATCAAATAAATCCTCACATTTTAAATCTTTTCAATAAAGTCACTGACCTAATATTTAAGGTATTACAGTCCCCCCAAGTCCTTGCCCTCGATTAAACCACTCCCAATTCATCTTGTTTTGGGCTTAACCAATCCCAATTCTATTACAACTTGCGTTATGGTTTACTTTTAAGCTAATGGGTTATTCGAAAACTTTATCGGGTTAGCCCAAACTCCTAACCTAAGATTCAGGGTGATACATCTATGGAGGCGGATGGGATAGACACTGGTGGTGATACAGATAACCATGATAATTTTTCTTTTCCCCTGAAGAATAAGGATAAACTAACTTCTGCGAATATGGTGTCTGGTTCGGCTGATGGGCAGTGTGCTATTGTGTTACACGAAACAGATAATATTGAGGTCAGTGATGAGGACTGTATTGTTGATACTTTGGTCCGATTACAAGGATTCGGTTTTTGGACAGGGTTCATGATCAAATCGATCATAGTATGAAACATGTTTTGATTATACGCTTGTTTAGATAGATCCATTGGATACAAGACTTTACTTATGGGTATTTATGTGAGCAGTGTGGTAAATCGGAACGAGCGGAGAAGGAAGATGCTTCGGAGCTACGACAGTCGAAAGAAATAGAAGGTCCGTCAATAGAAGCGAAAGGTGAGGAGCTTTATGGTCCCTGGATGGTGGTTGAGAAGAAAAAGTGAAAGCCTATAGCCGTTGTTAAGGATTCTCGTAAGGAAGAAAGGGTTACAATAGGTGCAGGCACGTCAAGATTTGAGGTGCTTTCGAAGTTACAAAGAGAGGAGGATCAGGTGGTTGCCACCACGAGCAGGGAGTAGTAAAGGGAAACACGTTGTTCCCTCGACAAGAAAAAGTAATTTCCAAAAATATTTCACTCCGATTGTTGCTTATGTTGCGTCTAACACAGGGAAGAAGAAGACTTCTAGTGAGAAAGGGCTCGTTGGAGTAACGGTGGTACCAACGCAGGAAGGACAAAGCACAAGAACTATTTTGCATGAGATTGATAACATACCGGGTATCCACAAGACAGTCTTAATAATGGAACGTGGAAAAGAAAATAATGGTAATTCAGGCATCCAGATTCTGTCGACTCCCAAGGTTAGTTCTAAATAATCCAAAGAGAACTTTTAGGGGGGAAAGGCAAAGTAGGAGCAGATTTTGACCCAGGACCGGAGGCAAAAGTTGTTGATGACTTCTGAAAACAACTGGAGGATCTTGGTAACATGGAGGAAACAATGTCATGATCACAAATTAAAGCACGCTTAATTGAGGTGGGGATTATGAGCATTGGTGAATCGATGGATGAATCGAAATCAGATGGGGAGTTGAATTCTCGTGTTCATAACTGATGTAATTCATATTACTTTCTTTAATTATATTAATGATGAATTGCATGGTCTGGAATATCCAAGGGGCAGGTACTACTTTTCGTAGAGTACTTAAGAATTTTGTACAGGAGTTTCATCCTAATCTTGTTGCACTTATTGAACCTCAGATTAGTGGCACGAGGGTGAATAAAGTGGTGGCTAAGTTGAATTTTCCTTACTCTTTCCGGATTGAGGCTCATGGATATGGTGGTGGAATTTGGGTGTTATGGGATGAGAAGGTCGATTTTGAAGTTTTGATCATTTCTAATCAGTTTGTCCATGGTCGTTTAAGGAGGTTAGACAATGGAGAGTGGTTTATCGTTACAGTGGTTTATACAAGTCCAAGTCGAGCCATAAGAAAGTCCTTGTGGTCTGCTCTTTTGCCTCTTAATCCAAGGGGAAGGTTCCGTGGATTCTTGGTGGCGATTTTAACTCGATTCTCAGCAAGGAAGAAAGAACAGGTCGCTCGGGGAAACCTTTAAAACCTAGTAATTTGTTTCGAGATTTTATTGATAATGTTAATCTGATTGATCTGGACTTTTATGGATTGCTGTATTCTTGGTCAAGAGGAGCCTTCACCAACGATTGGATCGCTACCTTGCTAATGGTTCTTTTAACAAAATGTTTGCGAATTCTTGAGTCCTTCATCTCAATCGGTTTGGGTCAGATCACAGACCGATTCTGTTTCATAGTATGTCACAAGTTATGCATTCTGGTCAAAGTCCTTTTCGATTTATTACCGCATGGAATGAACACCCACAATTCAGTGATTTCTAGAAATCGATCTGGTTGGAGGATCTTGACTGATCACAGACTGATTCTATTTCGTTGTACGTCACAAGTTATGCATTCTGCTCAGTGTCCTTTTTGATTTATTACTGCATGGAATGAACACCCACAATTCAATGATATTTTGAAACCGATCTGGTTGGAGGATCATGACTATGAGTCAAATTTGGAAGTTTTCGGACATATAGGAAGAAAAAAGACCTTTATTGGCTCGAATCCAGGGTATATTTCCTTTGTGAGCTAGACATTCAACTGCATGAAGAGCTGGAAATAGTTTTAAAACAAAAGGAAAGCCTTTGGAGACAAAAAGCCAGTTCGAATTGGATTATCTATGGAGAGCGAAACACTAAATTCTTTCATGCTTCCGTTATGATCAAGCGGCAGAGAAATAGGATCACATCTCTAAAGAATCTCTAAAGTTATTCCAAAGCGGGAGAGGCAATATTTGTGCTCTGGAGAGATGCTTTTTCCGCAGGTTAATCGGTTCCAGTTGAATGATCTGGGAAGGCCTCTTACCGAAGATGAAGTAAAGCAGCTTTTGACATGATGGCTCCTCTAAAATCGCCGGGTATTGATGGTATCCATGCCATCAGAAAAATTGGAGTGTGGTGGGAAAAACTGTATGTGATTACTTACGTGGAATATGAGATGGAGTTCAATGGCACCCTGAGCTGAATAAAAATTTAATGGTCCTAATTCTGAAAGTGTCGATACCAGATATAATCAGTCAGTTTGGACCAATTTGTCTATGCAATGTGGTCTATAATGCATTGACGAAGACAATCGTTAATCGGTTAAAGCCGTTTTTACCATTTTGGGTGTCCGAAAACAAGACTAGCTTTCTGCCGAGTAGATCGGTTATCGACAATATTATTCTCACACAAGAGGTGATCCATTCGATGAAATCTAAAACGGGTTGCAAGGGATGGATGGTAAAATTGATTTGGATTAGGTTTACGATCGTTTAGAGTGAAGTTAATCTAGGATACACTCTCTGATTTGGGTATACCTATCACTCTTAAACGTGTGATTATGAGGTGTGTGACTTCGGTGTCGACGGTATTCTTTGGAATGGGAGCCAAACAGAGTTTTTCAAACCAACTCAGGGTATTTGTCAGGGTGATCCTTTTTCGTCATATCTTTTTGTATTATGTATGGAGAGACTGACGCATATGATCCAAGGGGCAGTTGGTAGAGGTCTTTGGAAACCTTTTAGAACGTCTGGCTTAGGTCCAGGGATATCTCATCTTTTATTCGTTGATGATATGCTATTTTTTGCAGAGGCTACTCGGGAACAGTGGGAGGTAATCCATGATATCTTGCTCAAATTTGCTCGTGCTCCGGGACAAAAGGTGAATGTGGAAAAGACTACGATTTTCTTCTCAAAGAATATTTCGATATCTATTTGGAATCAAATTAGCACGGATATTGGATTTTGTGAAGTGTTGGAGCTGGGAAAGTATCTTGTTGTGCCTTTATTCCATAGTCTAGTAACGACGACATGGTATCAGTATTTGATTAAGATGGTTACGGATAGGTTGTCGGGATGGAAGATGCGAACTCTATCGTTTACTGGAAGGGTTACTTTAGCTAAGTCAGTTTTGTCTGCCCTTCTTATTTACACGATGCAATCAGCGGTTCTCCCTCGAAGGATTAATTGTTGTAAACTTTTGAAAGGACTTGCTATTATTTGGGAGGATGTACGCCAGTTCGTTTCTTGGTGTATTGGTAATGGTAAAGAAGTGGATTTCTGGTTTGACGCTTGTCTCGATGATTGTGGTCCCTTAATTAATTACATTACTTTGGCGGGAGTAGTTGGAATGAACCGTATAACGATTGCGGATATGTCCGATAGTGATGGCGGGTGGCATTGCTCTTGGTTTGAACAGTTTCTTTCGCTGCATATTTTGTTCGAATAGCTGCTAAAAAGTGTCCTTTATCCATGTCGACACCGTTTTACGCCTACGCGGGGAAAGATCGATATCGACTCGGGATTTTTCTTTTTGAAAAGATTTATCGAAATGTGAGGAGTCGCCACCAATCATTTAAGGTGCGATTATTTAAGGTGCGATTGGGACTCCGTGGAAACCGGGTAATTTTAATAAAATATTTTTTTTTATCAAAATACCGAGTTTTAGGGTCTACAAAAATCCAAAAATCGTGTTCGGGAGTCCGTTACATGTGGAGAAGGATTAACACCCCACAAGCGCCCAAAAATTGATACCTAGTTGATTACCCTATATTAAAAATCAAAATTTTTGAGTTCGATCTTTATTTAATTTGAAAATCATTACGGACGTAAAGTTAAAAAGGGTATTCGTTTATTGAGACCGATAACATTCGCTTCCAAGCGTAAATGCGAGAGATAAGCTATTGTGCCTAATAACCGAATATTGCATCGTTTTTAGAAAATCATGATGCAGTCTTTGAAAGGAATGTCGACCTATTTCAGGAATCACCAGTAGTCACCTCCTAAGCACACTTGCGGGAGATGTACCATTAATTTCTTAATAAGTGAACATTGCCTTAGGTTTTAAAAAGCAATGCAATCAAACCAAATTTTATTTAATACTAATTAAGCTAAGGATAATTTAAGGTTTTTTCTAACTTAAAGTGTCAAATTATGAAAATTAAAGAACATTCAAGCAAAAAACCTAAAAATGTAGGCTCTAATATTAACCTTATTTGATTTTAAACCAATTATTGAACCGAATAACCAAGATGTTCCCTCGAGCATTTACGCGAGGCCCGACTCGAATTATCCCTTAAATTAAAAGGCTAGCTTGAAATCCAATCTAAAAAAAGAGGATATAATATTAACCTAAATTAATTTTAAGATTCGAATACTTAAATTGGAATCTCGAGCAAAATGGAGGACCAAATTAAGAATTCTCCTAATTTAAGGATTAAATCTAAAATAAAAGTAATCTAGATGGGGACTAAATATTAAAATAAAAATTAAAACGGGTTTAATTTAAAAGACAAATGATCTAACAAGGACTAAGTTAAAAGGAATCTAAAATTGAAGGCCAAAATAAAAACAATTAATGAATTTAAGGACTAAAATGTAAAAAAATAAAAAACAATATCTAAATAAAAGATAAACCGTGAGTAAATTGCATAAAATAAAAAAACAGTGGCTAAAATGCAAGAAAATAAAAGTTAATAGTAAAATAAGAAATAAATAGTGACCAAAATGCAAAATTAAAAAAAAATTATAGCATCAGATTCATAAATAAAATAAAGAGAGAACTAATTAATGACTAAAATGAAACAAAAAATAATAAGTGCCTAATTTTAAATAAATAACCATGCAAATAGGTAACTAAATTACAATAAAATAAAAAATAATGATAAAATTGAAATAAATTAGAAAAGGGGTTCTAGTGACCAAAACGTGAAAACAAGAAAAACATAGGGGAATAAAAACGGGAATAACCCAAAAAGTAATAGACACGCAATAAAATGGGGGAATTACAAAAACAATCCCCAGGTAATTGTTTTGGAAAAACACGCTAAAGGTGGAGGCACCATATCGTGATTTCCCCCAAAACTTTATCTATAAATACCAATTTTTTCTTTTTTCTTTTTTTATAATTTTCATTTTTTCAGTTTTAAAATTTTTTAGAGAGAGAGTCTCCCCTCTCTCTAGAAAATTGGCCATCGTCGGTGGCTCACCCTCAATCGGTCGCCGTCCAGTCCGCTGCTGACCATTGCCGGCCGTCGCGACATCACTGTCGTCGGTGGTCATTGGCCACCAAATTTTTGGGTATTGCTCAACTCATCACGGTGGTCACGGATATGGGCTCCGTTTTGCGAGAATCGACCCCAACCTCCACGAAAAGTTCCAAGAATAGCTCGGCTTCTATCGTCCCGATTGTTGCCGTCCGTCGTTAGATCGCCTCGGTTTTCAAGTATATTGCTCGTCGACTCCTCTTCTCCCTTTCGACCGTTCAGATTGTCGAATGGAGACACTGGCCGTCAGCGAGGCTCCAGCCGAAGGTAAGATCCTCTTTTTCCCTTTTTTTTTGTATTTTTGCAAGCTAAATAATTTGACTAAAAAAACCAGCAAATAGAAAAAAAACCTTGCAAATTTTGTTTATTTTTTCTACTTTTTTATTGATTTTTCGAATTGGGAACCCATATTACAATTTTTTGTTTTAGAACCCAAGGAGCGATCATATTCTTTCGTTTTTTGGGTTTTAATACATATTAACAAAAATATAGAAATGATGCTTATGTCTATTGCGTAGTGTTTTTTCAGAAGCGTGGAGATGGTGGCGTGCATGGCAGCTTTGCTGGTATTGGGTTAGAGGGAGGTGGCCTCTGGTTGGGGAGAATAAAGGTAGTATTCGGTTGGGGTGTTTGGGCGGCTATCGGGTTGGGTTTGGTATGGTCCCGGTTCAGGTCTGTCTTGGTTTTGGGTTCGGGCTTGAGGCCCGTTAGAAAATGGTGCTCACAACTTCCCCTCTTTGCTCATTGTTGTGAAACGAGAATGAAACAAAGATAAAACAGTACCATTTTCCATCTTGGTCTCTTCTTATCAAGATGCGAACTCTTCGCTGGGAATGTCAATTCTTCTATTTCTGTGAAATCGTCGAGTCCTTGTTGCAAATGATGTCATCTTGCTTCATTCTCTTGCCTGAGTCTTAATCTTCAATTCTTCAAGCTACGGGTTGTTCTCATCATGATATTTTCCACTAGAAATGTCAATCCCTCGAGAGAGTGTTCTTCATTCGAAGTGTTGTGAGAATTGAGCAAAATAAATGTTATCCCCTCTGGTGGGGCGTTGCTGATTTGAAGTGTTGTGAATTGAGCAATAGAAAATGCTAACCCCTCTGGTAGGGCGTTGTTTATTTTAAGAAAAACAATCTCAAGTGATATAAATCTTCCGTTTCGAGTGAAATTATCTCAAGCGAGATAAAATCTTCTATTTCGAGTGAAACTATCTGTTGAAAATATTTTTATATTTCGATATAACAAACTAAGTATAAAAGAATTTTAAGATTTTACAAAGTTTTTTTATAAGTATATTCGATTCAATTAATCGAATATCAAATTATTACTCCAAGTCTTTCAAGATCAATTTCAAACTTTACTAAATGTGTAAAATTGTGTTTTATACTTAATATTTTTTTTGAAACAATTTCACAAAGTATTTTGAACCGAAATCAAGCCTAAAATCAATTTTTCAAAGGGATGCACCGATGCACCAATCCATGCATCGATGCACCAATGAATAAATTGAACATCGAATGTAGTTTATACATCGATGCACTCTCCATGCATCGATGCACTCAGGTTTTAATGAAAACATCAAATGCATTTTATGCATCAATGCACACCCCATGCATCGATGCACTTAGGCTTCAAAACATCGAATGCATTTTATGCATCGATGCACACTTAGTGCACCGATGCACTAAGTGTTACAACAGTCAAAATATTTGAATTTTACACTTGATGCACCGATGCACCTTGTGTATGCATCGATGCACTGACGCTCCCAACTGATTTTATTAATTGTTTTCACACTTAAATGGATCTATTGACTCCACTAATCATCCCCAACATTCAGAATCAATTGAAGGAGTATTTAAACAAGCTTAGAAGCCATTGATCAACAATAAGAAACAACAAGAAACTAGAATCAAGAGAGAATCAAAGAGAAAACATCAAACTCATTGTTTGAGCACTTCAAGCCTATTTTTTATTCAATATTTATTTTGCTTTCAAGAACACTACTTGTACTCAATTGTATTCATTCTTGAGTGTTCTTTTCTTTGTTCTAGAATTGTGCAAACACATTTACCTTGTGAGGTTTTTCATTAAGTTTGCAAATTTGTAATCTTTTCTTTGAGAAAGAGTGTTCTCAGGAATTGGGGTATATTCTCGAGGGAGTTGAAAGATTATCTCTTTGGCCTCAAAAGAAAGAACAAATTAGTAAATTTGTTGGAAAATCCTTAGTGTGGATAGCTAAGGTAGTGGACGTAGACTTTAGTTGAGAAAGTAGAACCACTTTAAATCGCTGTGTAATTACTTTCAATTTTCTACAAAAGCTTCCACCAAAATTTAATTGCCAATTCACCCCCCTCTTGCCCATATTCTCGATCGATTAACTCAACAATTGGTATCAGAGCCTCACTCATTTGAAGGTTTAATCGCCTCTTGAGTCGATTCGGGAAGAGTTACATCGATAATCAAGTAATCAATGACCTCCACTTCAAACTTCAACTCCGGTCTCGATTCGATGCCCGCCAACAAGCCTTATTTCTTCAATGGAGCTAACTATGCCTATTAGAAGAATAGGATGATGTATTTCATTCAAGCAAGTGACATGGGAGCATGGAATGTTATAGAAGACATTTATATCAAGCCTCTCACTCATCCAAGATTGTGGAGTAAAGGAGAGATAAAAATGTTTCAGCTCAACTCCAAAGCCATTCATATCATATTTTGTGCTCTTGGACCAGATGAATACGGAAGGGTTTCATCTTGTACAACCGCCAAACAAATATGGGATAAACTACAAGTCACTCATGAAGGCAGGTACGAGGTAAAAGAATCTAAAATTAGTCTTCTAGCACATAGCTATGAAAATTTCAGGATGAAACCAAATGAAGATATCAAAGCTATGACAGATAGATTTTCAACGATTGTCAATGGTCTCAAATCATATGGAGAGATCATTCCAAACGAAAAGCTTGTGAGGAAGTTAGTTTACTCACTTCCAAAATCATGGAAATCAAAGAAGACGACAATCAACGAGGCTAAGAACCTAAAGTCCTTAGCTCTTGAAGAACTAATCGGTTCCCTCCTCACTTATGAAATGATGCTTGAAGATGAGGTGGACCTCGATAAGATTGATGAGACATCAAAGGAGAAAGAGAAGAAGAAAAACATTGGAGTTGCTCTCAAA